ACCAGAGGTGCTTTCTCTCTTTGTAATATGTATGATCGAATCAAGAAATCCCCAAACATGTCTCCATGTTTTATAGATGGGATTTTCTTGAAGGTTCATTCGCCTTAACATGTTAAAGATAAGTTATTAAGGTTCCAACAAACAAGAAAATGTTGTGAAACTTTAAAGCAACTGAATTAATCATCAAATAATAAAGCACTTCATTTATATCAAGTACAAGTCAAGGAACGCTTAGACATGAAAATAAACAAGATGAGCCGATAAAAGCTAAGTCATTCAACGTCCAAACAGCTAGTACTATAAACAACTAGTACTATACACAACAAAATTTCAAGATGGTCTAGAAAATCACATTGGTAGATTGAAAATAATCAAAGTGATCCATTCCATCAGTTTCTTCCGTTACACTATAAACACGATACATGTTGTGTACTTGTCAAAAAACTCTGAGAAAGAAACTTACAAATAAACAAATAATGAATGAATGAATGGACACTGATAATTAAATCAAAAAATTTTGATTGCACATAAATTGCATGTCTGATCTTGTAATCTTTAGTATTACAATCAATAACAGAATAATTAACATGATTTTGATTTGAAGTTGTAAAAGGCAGGTTGGGGCATATAGATCAAGAAGTGACACCTAAAGATCCTTCCAGGCATTGAAATCAGTACTTGAACTGTTATGGTTAATTGTCATATCTTGGCATCCAATAAAGAATGTACTCTCAAGCATATCAATATTTACTAGAGCAGGTGCTGTTCCTCTGATACTAGCTGCAACAGCAACCTCATCCTGATCAATTATTGCTTCAGCATAACCTTGATCAGCTATCTGATGGTTTTCCAACTGCAATTTGGTCAATATAAATAAGGATATCAACTACACTTGAGCCATTTTCATTCCTAAATTAACATCTATGCTATTTTCTGTTCGATCACTTAAGCTGTCTTCCTCTCTCACTACATAACAAAATAAGCAGTGTCTGACCAGTGTAGAGCAACAATTGACACTACCACCAATATAATTAAAAACTCTATATAAATGCATAAGATGTCCTTTGCAATTTCTATCCATACCATAACATCATATCAAGTCAATGGAGCACAAAAGATGAAGTATTGCACAAGGGAAATCAGAGCTGCAGAAATACACATGTTATACATCCATGCATTATAGTTTTGTTTTCCTTTTATCTTGAAAGAAGTTTGTCTTTACTTTATAACAGAATATTTTAGAAGTGTACAACTGAACCAGAATTTGATTGCAGTAGTAACCAACTCCACCATATGTATTGGTGCATGTATGTGCAAAGTTAAATAAATTTAACTAAGTGGAAAAGTAATTAGGACCCAATGAAAAGTTGAATATCTCTGATTCTTGATGCTTTTTTACAAGTAAACTTAAACAAATTTTTATAACAGAAATAAATTAACCTGATAGCAATAGTTGTACAGCAAACTATTGCGATTTCTGAATCCAGTGGAAAATTTTAAAAGAAAATTTGACAGGAAAAAAAAAATTCATGTTTTGGAAATAGTACCGTCATTCTTGTTAATCATGCATTGTCCAGTCTGATCTACCATTAAATGAAGAAGTAACATGTGGATTTTTTTCAATTCACTAGGTGGAAGTGATGAATGAGAAGACCAGACCAAATCTCTTGAGAGAAAAACTTTACATTGATGAGAAGGAAGCATACCCTGAATTTTGTTTTAGCTCCTCAAATGAAAAATGTCTCGTTAGAAGTATAGCGTCTGTGGTTTCCTCTCACACCACCTGGTTGAATTTCACCAAGACGTACTAATGCACAAGACACAGCACCACCTATAGGAGAATGCAATCTTCTTCAAGAGGATCACAATGAATAATGAGACTAAAAAGCACAGTTAAAGACTCAAAATGAAAAAGAAATATATATTGCCTATCGTTTAATATTGAAGAATGAAGGCTCCAACCTCCACTCAAAGAAAGCACAGTCACAAGTAAAAGAGAAAAGGCTATATTTTAAAAGGCTACATTCCTTTCATAATATACTTTGACTTGTATTTGATAACTGATGTAGAACTTTATGAAGGAAAACATATGGAAACAATTTCTAGAAGTTAAACTTCCAAACTCATCATCACAGCAAACAACCTGAACTTTCAATATTAGCAGCTGCCAATTGCAATTGCAGCACCCAAAGGCTAAACCATTCAATCATATAAAGCCTAATGGCAATTCAAGCCATTTTTCCCCAAAAAATTAAGCCTCTCAAATCATTATAACCAAGCAAACCAACAAAGTTAAAAAGGCCAACTTTATGCATACAAGAGTACCCATGGTTATATAACCAGTTAAATAAACACCACGATCCAATATTCACACATTTAATCCAAAGCATGCTTTTGCAGGTATGATCTCTTATTTCTTTCACAAATCCAAAGCAAATAAACTAGCTCAATTCAACCTCAGGATTAGAGGTTCCAATTCCCGGTTTCTCTAATCACTACAACTGCCTTAAAAGAATCCAATGCACATAAAAATTATCATAATGGTTAAGGATATTCCACCCTTAGGCATTTGAAGACAATAAGAACCAAAAGCACATATTTTAAATAAAATCACAGCATATACATAAAGGAAGGACATTGAGGCATTGGAGAATTAGCCACACAAATTTTATACATACAAATGAGAAGCACAGAGATAGATATGAACCTTTAACACCAGAGTTAAGTGCAAGAGTTATGGGATTAAGCAACCACCCACGCTTGTCCTTGGTAATGGAAGAAGGGAACCCAGCTTTGAATCTAACAAGATTAGCCTTAAGGATCATCGTCTTGGCTCCATTTCTCATGGGTTCTCAGAAAACCATGAGAAGGAGAAGATGGCTGCAATTTGAGGAAGACCCATGTCAGCAAAAGAAGCCCCGAGAGCAGGAAAGGGAAGGCCTGGGGCTTCTTCAAGAAATGGGTAAGAGATGAGAGTGAAGACGAGGTTTGAGTCTGAAATGGGTTCTTGTTGGAGTATGAATTCCTTCTAGGGTTCGCCATTATCGGCTTGCATTTGTATTCTCCTCGCCGGTCCTGCAAGCTCCCCTCTAATATTCCATGGCTAACACCGGCCTGTTTTTGGCATTACATTCTCTTATCTTCCTCTATATTTATTGCTTATATTTTTATTGGGAATTAAGAAAGTAAATTGGGTAATAAATTCTCTATTAATTTATTTTGTTTTCAAACAAGGACAAAGACAACGTGGGGCTGTTGAGGGCTAGGTGTTTAAAATATGATTTTATTTATTACTTACATTTATTGAAAATTAAGTAATAAATTGTCTATTAATTATTTTGTTTTCAAACAAGGACAAAGATAATGTAGGGGTGTTGAGAGCTAGGTGTTTAAAATATGTTTATAAACTTTAAATGGATAAATCTCAAGAGTCTCAAGTGATATTGAGTTTGAAACTTTAAATTGAAAATTTTGTATTTGAATAACTAAAGTAAATAGAAAGAGTTTGTGGAAAAAGAATAATTATTTTTTATCATATAAGTCAATTGTTTAATGTATCAATAAATAAAAAATTTTAAATAGACAGAATTTGAATCTCTCAAAATGTTATTTTAAGGGTTTAATTTTGAATTTTTTTATAAAAAAATACTATAATTATAATATTACATAATATTATAAACTTACAACATAATATATTTTTAAATAATTGATTTTTTTCATTTAAAAATTTACCTATGATAATGTTTATATTTATTTATTTAATATTATATTATACTCATTTAATATTATATTATAATTCTAAAATTATAATTTTATATAATATTATAATTATAGTATTATCCTTTTTCTTTATGGACAAAGACATGAATTGAAATGGGCAAAATTATTTTTAAGAACTACCCAATTCTCTATAGACCGGAAAGCAGACAATATAAGAAGAGAGTTTGTATTTTGTAAAATACCAGTCGTTAGGCATAAATTTTTTCCGATATCGTGGCTCTTTTAATTTAATAATTAATTGATATTTTGCTTTTGAAATTGCAAAATACTTATTTCATGAAAGGCAGATAAAGTGAAAGGAAAAAAAAAAA